AGCTGAGATGGCTCTGGCCACTATGCTGTTGGGAGTCTTTAGTGACAAGCCAGGTGACTACCAGAAGAGCAGACAAGCAAAAGAAGAAATCTACTAAGCTAGACTGTCATCCCTTGTCAATGAGATCAGAATCTGGCCCACTCTCTCTCTCATGCTGTCAAGGAGGGAAGCAGCTGCTCAGGGCAGGAACAATGATCCAGTTCTAGAAATCTCCCAACTGCAACACTATCCTTTGTATTCACAGTCCTTGGGTCTCTGTTGTCGTGAAATCCTACCTGGTGATGATATAGCAATACATGCTGCCTAGCAATAAAAATGATAAAGAAAGAAGTCAGACTGACTTAATTATTTAAACTTGAAATTACATTTAATCACTGATAATTTTTCTACTGGGTTTCTAGAACTGTTTCATCTCAGTATTTGAAGCATTTTGCTGTTTAAGCTTCTTAAAAGGAGAGGGGAACAAAAACCTTGACATAATACCATGAAAGCAAAGAACGTGCTGACTGGAAAAAAATAGTTACTATATTTAACCTGCAATACCCTATCAGAGAACTGCAATTTTAAAACCTTTCCATTTTGTTGTAGCATTTTCTGGTCTTTTAGTATGTTTTTTTTTTTTGTGTGCGTGGCTGAAACCAGTACAACATACCTAATACCTGTACCTTGAGAGACGTAAAATAGAATGGGGGGTAGTACCCCCATTTTTTGCTTACTGAGCCTTGTATTTTAATCTAATTTGGGAAACAAATCCAATGAGTTTGGTGGTCTCACCATGGGCTCTAGTGGGCACTAAGCCAGACCACAAATCACCACGTAACTTGGCACAGTTCAGCACAGTGGTAAAGCATTGTCTGTGTCTGCTAGGAGGGAGAGGTCCAGGCCTGAAATAGAAAGGGTATTGCAGGTCAGGATTCAGGTGCATTGGCTGAGCTGCCTGGGGATTTGTGTAGCACCCTCCTGTGCTATGCTTAGCTCCAGCCAAAGCTATTAGTCTCTCTATCTGAGGTTTGAGTACCAAAAAATGCACACGATTTTTGTGTATGGAAAGGACAACCTCACAACAAGCAGCAACTCTGCTGCAACTCTGCTTTGCAGCAGTGTGGATGAGTTAATGTTACTGCATTTCAAAGGGCCGGATCCTGCAATCTTCACTCAGGCCAAATTCCCATTTACTTCAATTAGTAAGGACTGCAGAAACAGGTTTTATGTTGCTGCCCAGTCCCTTGGCTGCTGCTTGTAATATATTACAGTGAAAAAGCTATTGGGCCAAATGCACGAATGGTGCATTTCCGTTAAAGGTACTGGAGTTTCACCAGGGATGAACCTAGCTCATTTAGTTGTATTCCTTTCCAAGGGATCACTCTGAATTCACACTGCAACTTCATTTCTTAGCAGTGAAAGAAATTGTTTTCCCTTTTCCTTCCAGATGGATAGTGCTACATGATCTGCACCTACCAGAACTAATCTGCTTGAAGATTTCATGTAGTTGCACAGCTGAGGCAGAGCTGATGTGCTTCCCCACTAGTGAGTCAAGATAACCAACTCCCCTGTAAAAGGGGGTACATGACTGGGCAAATCTTATGGGATCTTAAAATAACATCCTTTCTGGAGTTGGCTTTCAAAACTGCAACAGTCCTGGGATTTCTACCTGTTCTGGGGCATCTGCATAGACATACTGTTCTTTGGAGCTCCCACAATCTTACTGCTATTGCTTACTTGCCATGTGTATCCAGGCCATCTCCCACACATTTGAAGGGTGAAGAGAGAAAATGTGGTCATTACAGTTGCCATTGAAGCTTTAGAGGAAGAGAATGTCCCAAAGAATAGCCAGGACTATGGTGTATCCCTCCTCAACGAACAGACCCTACCCCCTAACTTAATAGCCCCAGTTTGCACTTAAAGGAGTGCAGAAAGGTGATGTTATTTGGGTTTCAGTCCCAATCTTATATTGATCTGCTCCTCAGTGAGATCAGAAGGCTTAAAACAAACTAATAAGTTCAACAGGATGGGTTCACAAGACCACTGCTATGGGTTACATGTATATACAGGTATATTTAGAAAATGCTCATAGGAGCTGTTGGAAGAAAGGGAGTCTCATAATTATGTCAGGAGGTATTTAACAGGGAGGAGTCATTATGAAGTATGGTCTGATTTCCTTAATATCTGTTGGGAACGCTATTAATGATGGTTCATATTATTGAGCTTTTGTAATACAGTATTTAAGAATAAAATTAGAATTTAAAAGCAGCAAAAAAATGAAGCACAATATCTTCAAAGATGCTCAAGCGTCTCTTCTGTGCAAAGTCAGTGCATTATGTCTACACGAGTCTGCTGCAAACATGCCAGTGTTTTAAGAATATGTGTATGTACTTCCACATGTGGCATGTGCTATGTATTAGTTTAGTATAAATTAGTCCATTATAGTGGGGTGAAGTATTTTGTGTTGCAGTATCTGTCGGTGCTGTACTTGTGTGGCACTGTGAGGTGTGTTCGCACACGGCTCTCGTGTCTGGTGTCTCTGGTATCTATCATGTGTTATGTATGCCATGTGCTGGTGTCATTCAGTGTTGTGTAACCATATAATGAGGTGCATACGCTGTATGTGTTCTGAAGCAGAGTGTTTGAGAATAGAGTTTTCTAGTTTCATTTCACTTGTGTGTGTCAGACGACATGAAGTGCTGAGGCTTGAGTAAGTTGGCTTGTGCCATATCTTGGTCAATGTGTGTATGGTGCTATAGGTGCATCTCACGCCTGGTAATTACTGCTCAATGTTTATGTACCGGTAAGTGTCAAATGCACATTTACAATGTGTGTCCTAATGGCTGGCATAAAAGCATTAGAAGCAAATATTAAAGAATGGAATAAACAAACGTAAAAATGTAAGTTGTCACAGTTAGGGTATGTATGCCACCCTTGGCAAAGATATCCGAGTGCTAGCTCTGGTACCAGGACCAGCACAGCCATATTAGAGTAGCACTCTACCAAGGCTAATTAGCTCTGCTGAGACTCCAACTATATTAGCCTTGGCAAAGTGCCCCAGTAATGCAGCTATACCTTTTCCAGGACTGAGCTAAGACATTAGATCTAGGTTGGATATCCGTCTGTGGTACTGCACTGTGCTCTGTAGCCATACCCTCTGTTTTTCCTTTACCTGCATGTGATCTATTTAAAAGGGATGCATTTTTGGAGAGCTTGGCTTTTGTAAAAGGTGTTGGATATTCTGGCACAGGTGCAATGAGTGGAGAGAACAGGATGGACTTATCCCCTACAACTTCTTACTGCAGTACTATTTTTCAGCTCCGGGGCTGATACAGGGGTGCTCGGGGGGCTCAGGTTGTGCTAGTAAGATGTGCACATTTGTGTATATGAGCCGGTGTTAGCATTGCTGTGTGATGTGTACCTGCGTCAGCTTGCATCGTGTCAGTTGGTGATGAGGATTTCTAAGGTGTGCATGAGGTGGGGCGGTGGTGCTGGTCTCACGGGTGACAGCGCGTACGGCTGTGCCGCTCATGTTCGCTGGCGTGGCAGGCAAGCAGCGTCACGCAGGGGTGAAGGATGGGGCGTGGCGGGCACATCCCTCAGCATCCTGCCCCGTGCCATCGCTCTCAGGGGCTGCTTGGGCACCTGGGAGCTGGCGCATCCCTGCCAGGTTCAGGCAGTGCTGGAGGGCAGGAGCCGCACCTGGGGGGCAGCAGTGGGACGGGTGAAGGAACCTGCTCATTTCCCCCCAGGGTCTCTGTGCTCCTGGTCTCTTCTCCCCGACCACAGGGCCTCTATGCAGGGGGCCGTCAGGAGGGGCGGGTACCTCCTCCCCCACACCGGGGTCTTCTTGGACACCCCTCAGGAGCGGCTGCCCTCCCCCAGACACCCCTGGGGGACAGCCCCCCCACCCAAATCCCCTCAGGAGGGGGCACCCTCCCCCAGACACCCCTGGGGGACAGCCCCCCCACCCAAATCCCCTCAGGAGGGGGCGTCCTTCCCCAGGCACCCCTGGGGGATAGCCCCACCCCCTCCAAATCCCCTCAGGGTCCCCTCAGGAGGGGGTGCCCTCCCCCAGACACCCCTGGGGGACAGCCTCCCCACCCAAATCCCCTCAGGGTCCCCTCAGGAGGGGG